GTCTTTTTATTAGTGAGTGGTGGTGGTTTGCTAATAATCTGTAGTTATACAATTTTTTTGTAATCCCATCGAGTGGCTCTGTTTCTGCTCTTGTGACTGTGTTAATGTTTAACTGTTGTACCTTAAAGCCGAACTGAGTAACTATGCATACTGTAACCAAGTTCTTGGGCTTACAGAATTGTTTGTTGTATAAAAAGTTTTAAATGTTTAAAAAGTTCTCGCAAATACTTTCTTGCAAAAGTAACGTTACTTTTTTCTTTTTTTCTTTTTTTTGCCACCAATGGTATTATACTGTGCTTGTTTAGTTGAAGAATGAAAGACTAAGCAAGGGTAAAAATTTTAACAGTGCAGAAATCGCCATCATTTCATTGCCTTGATTATCTTTGTGTCCTAAGATGCAAAAGAAGTCAGCGGCTTTTAACTGTTTACAAATAGAACGTGATTGTAAAATGTACAGTTTGGTTGTGTTTGAATTATGAAGTTTCTTCAGATATTAATAAATCATGACGTTTTTGGCTGCTCAGCATATAATGGTCTATTTTTTGGTGACTTTATTTGTAGGCTGTTTTCTAGACAATGAAAATCTGTGTTGCTATAACTGTGTATCATAGTTTGGATTTCTTTTATTCTGATACTTTTGAGAAAGGTAGACAGATCTGCCTTTGATTCTAGCAAAATTCTCCCTCAATATCCCCACTCTGACATGAGAGAATAAGTGTAGAGAACTGCAGCTTGCTCTACTTTACCCAATTTGAGCACCTTTGGGATCGGGCTGCCCTGATCCTGGCTGTACTTCTAAATCTCAAGTTTTCTCTTAACCCCACCATGTGTGCCCCGCTAGATCCTCAACAGGACACTTGCAAATAAGGAGAACATTTTGGAAAATACAGTTTAATGCTTAAACATGTACTGGGGTTAAATTTATACCTCATTTACATAAATCATAATGAACAATGCAGCGGCGCTTAATTTGTATTTCACTTTTCACAGTGGCTTAGCTTGTTCTGAAATGGCTGTAGGGCAGACCATATATGTACGTAATATGATGTGACTTCAAAAAGTTTATTCTCAGCTTGCCTGGTGTAAGTCGTTTACTTTGTTGGATGCCAGCCTTGTGTTAACTCAACACTTACTACTAACAGTTACCTTGTCCCAAACCAAAGCTGGCTTCTAAAGTCCAGTCTGAAATACTGTTGAAAGGTTTCGCTGATAATCTTCAGCACTCTGCATTGAATAGAACTGACATCATACCTGCATTGATTGTATTGTCAAAGTGTTGGAAACTCCTTCGTTGAGCTTGTTATGTGAAAATAAAACGTGGTTGGTTTTAAAAGCTGACAACTGTTGCCTGTCTTTAGTTTGCCATTTTTAGGCTGTCCAACTTCTTTCAAGATTGACCAGTTCCATCCCCTCACAGTAGGAATGAGGTCGCCTACTGGCTTTGGGCTGCGGAGAAAGCAATTTCATCTTTTAGTGACAAGAGACTAATGTTGCCTGGTACTAGCTATTGACTGAGAGCCAAGCTCACCTCAGTAAGCCATGTTCACCTCACTCATATTGCAGACTATTTCAGAGGGGGGGTTGGCCCTAGGGGTAGCTTCAAAAACATTTTTGTCTATTTCTGAGAGTTAAACTCATGTGTACATGAAGGAAACTTCCACCCCCTGAAAAACTGGCCAGTGGAGGCTTTTTCCAATCTCAGCTAAGTGGGTTGTGGACCACAGCAAAACCCCAGCCTTTCTCAGCATTTCAGTCCTGGATTCCAGTTTAGGAAAAGGAGACAAAGGGTGTGGCCAGAGCATGCTAGTGATCAGTGACCCCTTCCCTTGAAGGGGTATAGCCAGATTTTGGGTCAATAATTAAAGCAAAAAGTAAATTGCACAGCTGGAAGTGAAGACTTTGAAATGAATTTGTTAGAATATTAACATCTGTTTAAAGAAAGGCTTGTTTATGATTTCTGACTTACCCTCTGCCTCTCAGCATAACTTATGTTACACTTAATCACTGCCTAGACTTACTTATGGTTCTGGGAGCCTATATGAGGTGGTTAGCGCTCTGCTTACCGGCCGTTGTCTGGAAAGATGATGTAGAATTGGAAAGGGTGTCCACTGAACTGGTTCCATTGGCCAACTTGACACAGAAATATCACTGGCTTTTCCAGAGTCAATCATGGGATCATTTATGCTACTAGAACTTGTGTCCCAGTCATAGTGAAAGCTAGAAGAAAAGATTGAGATTGTGAATAAAGACTTAAAACAAAAAAACTTCCCAGCACTTTCTTCTTTTGTCAGCCACAGCTTAATCTTTGCCGTTGTTGCTAAAACACACTAGAGAATCTGGGCCAGGGTCCCATCCCCACAGCAATCAGTTCCTGAGAATCTGCATCTGGACAATTGCAGAAAACTCTCGTGGAAGGGGTAGGAGCCGGTGGCTCTCCAGGGGGAAGCATTACAGCACTTCACGCACACACAGCCTGCTGCCTGACATGAGGACAGCGTGA